CAGGTTTTTCGGAGCCTCGCTTACTCTTATCACATAGTATATATTATTATGGTGATAAGGCAGGCTTCTCGGAGTCTCGCTTACTCTTATCACCTAGTATATATTATTATGGTGATAAGGCAGGCTTCTCGGAGCCGCGCTCACTCTTATCACCTAGTATATATTATTATTATGGTGATGCCCACTCTAAGTCCTGGACCGTCCGGAAACCCTTGAGATCATGCAGGTGGGTCATACGAGACTTGTACCTCATGTCTAAAAATCGTCCGCCTGATCCCCACTGGGTTAGTTTGGACTTTTGAGAGTACGTAGGCATATGTCAGTCATAGGGTAAGGGTTTGTTTGAAACAATCCATCAACTCAATATGTGATCATATCGTGCATAATCTTTGTCCACTATGATCCACCTCTCTTATCACATGGCCAGGTGGCCTATAAGCGAGGGAAAACTGCCCAAAGTCAATCCCCCTGACCACCACATCCCCAAAAGAAACATTCATGTAGCGAGACATTGACTTGGCACTTCTCGTTCTCGCTACGTTTACCAACAACAGCTAGACATACCCCGACCAGATCATGCATTTCTTCACTTACTCAAGCATTATTGTTTGTCTTTCTGTCCTCAGGTTTAGCCCTGAAGGACCCCTGACTCAAGTACCTTTCTCTATTAATAATGTCATAAGTAGTCCCCTGAGGTTATAGGTTTAGGGTTTAGGGCTTAGGGTTTATGTTGAAGCGCATGTACCTCACTATTCCCTGCCTCCAGAGTTCCGCTTGAACTCCGGCAGAGCTCCCGCAACCGCCCTGTCATTGGTCACATATAACTCATGCAATCAATTGCTGGCCCTTAGAGCTAGCTGGGGCCAGAATTAACTCAATGTGCACTAGGTCATCAAACAATTAAAACCGAGGGGGCAGGCATATGAAAGGACCAAACAAGATAAGTACGAAGAAGGATGAAGGAGGTGGACACTTATCGCAAAAGGATAGCGTCACCTCCCTCTCCAATGCCCCATGCTTTCTCTTCATCTCTGGCTCTGTATGATGCCTAATGATGACAATCAGAATAATGACACAAAATAATAATAATAATAATAATAATAATAATAATAATAATAAGATAGTAATAATAACAATAATAATAATAACAGTAAAAATTAAGTAATTAGTAATTACCGAAAAGGATGAAATAACGGCAATTTGATCTGGCACCAGGTATCCGTGAAACTTCATAGGTATGAACCTGACCAGAAATACAGTCAGATTCAGCTTTCTTTTGGTCGTGGTTGTGGCACACCGCCCTTAACAGGGCATCTCCCTGTTCGCGGCACCCCACTAAGTTGTTTGCACATACACACAACACACTCTCATCCAACTAGGATCTACCCTAGATGTCCCACATACGCATGTACACACACACATCCTTGCACGCACGCTTGTTGTTCCGTATTTCCTCGCCATAGCCACTGGCGCCCCGCTGTCCGCGCCCCGCTGTCCCTCTCTTCCTCTCTCTGTGTATACGTCTCGCTTTTGTGTGTCACCGTGTATGTGTCCTTGTGTGACTGTGTAGGTGTCACTATGACTGTGTCACCGTAGAAGTGCGTGACACTGTGCACTGTGTATCTGTCACAGTTTTCACTACGTCTGTGTCATTGCGTGTCGGTGCCACTTGTGTATCTGTTCTCACTGTGTATGTGTATCGCCGTATATCTGTGTATGTGTGTCACTGTACATCCATGTGACTGTGTATCTGTGTGACTGTGTTTTTTCGGGTGTACGTGTTACCGTCCACTGTGTGTTTCACTGCCTTGTATCTGTGTGACTGCATATCTGTGTCGCACGACATGTGACAGTGTTTGTGTCACTGAGTGACCGTCACGTCACTGTGCACTTCGTGACCGTGTGATTGTGTCCGCGTCATTGTGTGACTGTGTCCGCGTCACTGCGTGACTGCGTGTGTGTCATTGTGTGACTGTGTCCGCGTCATTGCGTGACTGCGTGACTCGCTGGTTTAGTAAAAGAGAACTCTTACCTACCGCTCTTGATATTGTCTCTGCATACGAAAGAGGTTTAAGAATCCAAGCTTACGATGGAATGCTTAACTCGTGTGCCAAAATTGAGCCAATGGGCTTTGGTTGTGCCCTCAGACAAGCACGGACGGGCAGGCCCTGAAAAAGGGGTCCAACAGGCCCTAGGAAGAGGCCTAGACCGACAGTTGACCGAAATGTCAACAGTCAACTCATGGACCCAGGCCCAGATCTGAGAAGTCAAAGTCAACACGTAAGATTTCCTTCGATCTGGAATGATCTAACAGTGGTCTGCAGGTTCCGGAAGATTCAGGCCTCAAGGAGTCCAGACCGAAACTGGGACAAACTGCATCTGAGCCGCAGGCAATCGGACGGTCCGGGGCCTCACACAGACAGAAGCTGACCCTGGACAATGCAAGTCAACACTATATAAAGTTGACTTCGCCACTGATTGAACATTCAGTCTTGCGAGTTGCTTGCGGCTTCGATGCTGCACGTGAGACTTGAGAGGAGGACGCTGGCGCCAGGCTGTGTTGTGGGCGCCAGCCAGATGCTGTAGTAGGAGAGGAGAGAGAGGGAAGGCAGCCATTGCTGCGACCATAGACAACGGCGAGGTAGCAAGGAGAGAGAGAAAGTGTGGGCGAGCCTGATGTGATGGTGCTGCTGATTCTGCTCGCTGCTGAAGGATCACTTGTCTGCGAGGGGCTGCGTTTACATCATCCATGTGTCATACTGTGTACAGAATGCTGACGTGGCAGAGGTGGGGAAGCCTGGAGGAGAAGAGGGAATTCATTGCTACGATATTCTTCTCCTTCCATCTGGCTTTTCTTCCCCCTCTCTGTTCTAGTCTGGATACTCTTGACTTGGCGACCTTACACGTGGTTATGAAGGATCATGGACTTCAACGACTTCAAATTGATGGACTAGCTGGAATGATTATCTCGACATTGCATGACATTGTTATCTCACAAAATTGCTATCTGATGACATGATTGTTTGACAAGACTGGGCTCATTACAAGAGGAGCTCACAGAAATAAAACGGGAGGGCAGGGGGGTCGACTTTGTGAGGGAACATTGTCCTTGAACAGCCATTAAAATTGAAACGATACGAAGTTGGCATGGCCCCTGCACAAGGACGACATGCATAAATCGAGAAGTTGGCGGGAAAAAGAAAACGATTTTTGGGAGCATCAGAAGGTAGCAAGCAAGTATCAAGCAAGTAGCATTGCTACTGGCAATGCTTCTTTTCTGCTTTGTAACGAGGGTCAACTCCCTCTCCTTGTGTTGCATGTTCGCTAAACACAACTGGACAGAAAGGGGTATGACTGCAACCGACTGTGACAAAGAATTTCTTTGGACTTCACCAAAGCTTATCAGGAAATGGTGCATGCTTGTGTGTGCACGCACACATGTGCAAGCAGGTGCGAGAGAGATGGAGAGAGGCGGGGTGCACAGGGGAGAGAGAGAGGAGGGGGGGGGGGGGGGGGGGGGGGGGGGGG